GTGTGTGTGTGTGTGTGTGTGTCTCCTTTTCTCTGATTCCTCTTTAAGCATGTTGCTGTTTTTGCACCAAAAACGCTGGGATATTAAAACAGTCATTTTATTTTATGTAAAAACATATTAATCTGATTAATATGCAAATAAAAACAGAATATTTAGCACTAGATAAAATAAATAATTATTTGATTTATTTTTTAATTTTTTTTAAGAAAGGGCTGAAAGAAGAAATCCTGTGTGGCAGCACTTCATACAGCCGGCACCAGACAAGGCCCAGTTAATAAATGGTTTTTTTTTTATTGAGACCTGTGTAACATTTGTTATCATTCTTATTTTTATCATGTTAATGGAGGAGGAAAAAGCAGTATTGGCTTCAAGAATCGGTCAAAAAAAATCGGCTGCATGTATCGGCGTATCGGTTAGACTGATGCCAAAACAATCGGTATCGGCCTTCAAAAACCTACAATCGGTCGATCTCTAATACAGAATACTTAAGTTAGAACTTAAACATTACACAATGACTTTAAAAAACATTTCTTTAMCAAGGTGGCTCTCCTTCCTTATCCAACTTATCCTTCCAACAGCTTCTCTGACTGGATTAAATGAAAAATACAGCATGATTGCAAAATGTAAATACATTTTTTACCTTGTATACATTTTTTAAACATGGAACTGACAAACTTTTTGACTAAAATGTAAACGGTAACACATTCAATTATGTATCAAATATGGTATGAATCCAGAGTATTCAAGCACTCATATGAAGAATACTGCATGAGTACTTATAGGTATCGGGTACCATTACCGGTATCAGGACAGCACTATTTTATTCTGCGCAGAGCCTTGATCGTATCTGAATTAATGAGAAGAAAACATAATCTAAAAGGGCCCTTACTTCAATTTCTCATCAACTAAACAATTTTGGGGCAATCAGAATATGCTTGTACTATGCTCTTCATGCTGCCCTCACTTTACAAAAACACTTTAAAGTCTATCCACACTCTGGCTGATTCTTTACACCAGGGGTCTTCAGCCTTTTCTTCCTTAAAGGCACAGTTTGTAGGATTTGTTGTTTTCAGCGACATCTAGTGGTTGAGTGGTTGAATCATCCTCCCTGGTC